TTTCCCTAGCTATTCTTTTTAAGTTTTTTTAACCTGCTTCTTGTTTGCTCTATCCCTTATTTATTGTCTTGGGCAGCTTCAGTGTTAAGTAATTGCTAATTGTTTTGAATAAATGCCCTCTTCTGAGGCTGTTCACACTGGGCAAGCTTTGAGTCAGGTCAGTTAAACCCCTGCTAGCTGGGTTTCCAGGAAACTGCCAGACAGGTCAAATAATGACAGTTTCTTGATAATGTTGCTCTACAACTGTTCTGTCTCCTCCAGTGGATGTAGCTTCTCGTACCTGCCTGTGATTGCAGGATTGATGGTTTTCAAGACTACTGAGGAGGAGAGGCGAGGAGAGGCGAGGAGGATCTAAGCAGGAGCAGCTAGTGTCCCAAAGCTTACTATTCTTAAGATTCCGCCAAGTTTTTTGAGTCAGTGCTCCCTAGATTATTGCAAGCCTTTGGCTAACTTCTAGAATTCTGAAAAAGTTGATTTTTGATAATTTTTTGTAATATTCTATTGCTTTTGTGGAGAAGAATTTTTGAAGTAGTTTAGTCGGCCATTTGCAATGACTTCACCTCTCCCTCATCTTTTAAAATGTTTTTTCTACTTTCATTTTTTTCTTTTTTTTTTTAATGCATATATTTCATCTTCATTTTGAGGGCTTTTTGCTTTTTATTTATTTATTTATTTAATTTTGGCTGTGCCGGGTCTTAGCTGCAGCACGCAGGATCTTTTAGTTGTTGGCATGTGGACTTCTTAGTTGCGGCATGCAGACTTCTCAGTCGCGGTGTGTGGACCTTTAGTTGTGGTGTGTGAACTCTTAGTTGTGGCACGCATGTGGGATCTAGTTCCCCCACTGGGGATTGAACCTGGGCCCCCTGCATTGGGAGCACAGCGTCTTACCCACTGGACCACCAGGAAAGTCCCTCATTTTTTTCTTTTTAAGCATTTTTTTTCTTCCTATGGTGGTGGTATTGTTTTTTGGTTTTTGGTTTTTTTCCTATTTATATTACTATTCTGGCAGTGATTCTAGCATTGCTTAAGGTCATTAATAGCACACTGGATCAAGTTTATGTTAAATTAAGGAACTTCTATAATTTTTTTAAAAAGTTCTCTTAGGTGACCAATTTTGTTTTAAATAAGGAAGCCTAAGAGCATTATTCACCTCTCCCTTCTTCCTTTCCTGCCCCCTCTACCCCCTGTATGTATATATATGTTTTAACATATGTGTATCTATTTAACATATACCTGTATATTACCTTTAATGATGAGATTTGACTCACCCCTCTATTAGTTTGAGAAATGTTTGTCCAACAGCAATGGGAGATCTTAAACAAGTCAGGCATTCTAGTGGTTCTTTAGATTAAAAAAGATCTACTCAAGTTGCCCATTTTATTGTCCTAGTGTGAACCAGGGCATTTTGGGTGTGTTTTATTTTACAGCTTTCTACTGACAGAAATACTTTGATGTTATTACTGTTTATCATACTTGCCATTTCAACATTTAGAAAATAATCATCATAATTCTCTCGTTTGTAGTGTCTTAATTACTTGAACTTTTTCCCCTTAGGTATAGTGTTTACAAAATAATAATAAAGAGTGACGCTTCTTTTTCTTTTCTTTTTTCTTTTTAGAATCTCAAAATTTGGATTTTGTTTGTAGTGTTCTTGTGTTGGCTGATCAGCTTCTCATATCTCGATTGAAAGAGATTTGTGAAGTGGCATTAAGTGAAAAACGTGAGTTTTTGAATTGGAATCTTAGTGTGTTTTCAGGTTGATCCAGGATTTACTGTATTTTATTGACTTTCTGATGTAGTTTATGATAAAATGCATGTTTTTGTATCATTAAAAATTCAAGACATTTAAACTATTTCGTGTCATTTGTAAGCACATCCTTATTTTAGAGATGTTAACATGTGAAAACATGAACATCTTAGAATTTAAATACGTTAAGTTTTTGGAAATGCTGTAAAAGCTTGAATAATAAGGATGGCATGAAACTTATTTTGGAATCTAAAAGATGAGAGTTTGAAAGCAGAAATTTTTTACCCTTGCCCTGGTCTGTAAGTCTACACTTAGCTACTCTGCTATTTGCTGGAATTTTTATGTAACCATCCCATTAATATATTTATCAAAAACTTCTCTTTTCTCTCAGGCTCTTATTTTTCTCTTTCTGTTCATTATTTCCATTAATTGCATGGCTGTCATCCTAACACTCAACTTTGGAACCCAAAGTTATTTTTTGTTATTTTGTTTTTATACCCAAATTGCAGCTGTCAAAATTGATTAATCTTAACTGTGTTGATCACATTTCCCCTACCCTTTTTTTTTTTTTTTTTTTTTGGGGTCCGCGGGCCTTTCACTGTTGTGGCCTCTCCCGCTGGGAACACAGGCTCTGGACGCGCAGGCTCAGCGGCCATGGCTCACGGGCCCAGCCGCTCGGCAGCATGTGGGATCCTCCCGGACTGGGGCACGAACCCGTGTCCCCTGCATCGGCAGGCGGACTCTTAACCACTGCGCCACCAGGGAAGCCCTCCCCTACCTTTTTATTCTCACTGTCACTATGCTAGTTGAGATCACTGTTATCTATCCCTTCTGTGTAGTGTCATAGTAGTCTTTTAGGTCCTGTTTCTCTTTTCTAACTTCTTCTTTAATCTTTCTGTAGGAAGGAGTTAATGTCTTCCCTTGTTCATATATTTTTAATCGCTTACTCTGGGATAAAGCTTAAATTTCCTCACCCTGATATAAAAGTTTCTTGGCTTTCTAATCTTATCTTTGTTCTCTTTCTTTGCCTCTTCAGGAAGTGTGAAGGGATTTCCTGTCAAATCTTTCTAATTTGTACTTCTAATAGTTTGTCTTAGCTCTAGAGTCTTATTTACTCACTTTTCTTGAGCTCTGTGGAGTATCTTCTCCTTGAACAACTCTAAAGTTTTTGTATGATCCAGTTTTATTTCTGTGAAATGGGAGAATTTGGGTTCATCATTAGTTGAAACTTTAGGTTAGTCAAGAGTGAGGCAGCGATCGTTGTTGTCTACATATTGTCTACCTATAACTTTTGACTGACTTATAAGGGACAAAGAACAAAGAAGTAGAGGAAGCCAGGTGTAGAAAATAGTTGTGTTCCCCTGTTGGCTGGGACTCAGAGTAAGTAAGAAAAAGAATGGAGGGGTTTGGGAAGCCAAAGTTACATGCTAGGTAAATAGAATATTCTGGGACAGTCTCTAGCAAGACACACTTCATATATAAAGTTAACAAGGATTGTAACAAAATCTAGCATGTTTTGTACAGTATGCCAGATTCTGCACTGGCATGAACAGTAATGTGGTAAGATTTAAATGTACTTATTTTCTAAATATATAGTATTTGTTTATATACGTAAATATACCCACGTAAAGTCTGATAGATGACTCAACATAAATTTATTTTGTAGAATGATTTCATCAGTTTCTCCTACTCCTAAGTATACTTTTTTAGTTTTCTAGGAGAATGACTATTCTGTGCTATATAAATGAAAAGGAATGTTGTTTATCAGTGAAAGTTAAAAATATTCTGAAAAGGTTAGGTAGAAGACTGTCAATTCTTACATGTTTGCTTTTAGATGACACTGTAATGCACCTTCTGTATTTTCTTTTGCTTAAAATTTTACGTGTGCTTATACTTCCTCTGAACAAGTCATTTACAATTACTTTGGCATATTGGGATGGAAAATGAGTTGTATATTTGCCCTAGTATAACTTATTTTTGGCAAGACACTACTTTCAATTTTCCTTCTTCTAAATGTTCAAACCTGACAACTTGAGAAATAAGTATATTTCATTTGCTGTAGTAACATGCCTTTCATCTCATTTCGCATATCTTTTCCTTTGTAGTTACCCTTAAGAATGCTGCTATGCTACTGGAATTTGCAGCAATGTATAATGCTGAACAGTTGAAACTATCTTGTTTACAATTTATAGGACTGAATATGGCAGCTTTACTTGAAGCAAGGTACGTTAGATATATACAGACTGTTGCAAAAGCACTTATTTATATATAATAACAAATATATTAGTAATTTAAAAGTGAATGACAGTAAATCCCAGCTTTGTAGAAAAAGTGAAAATGTAAGGGGATTTAATCATTCCATCAGTATTTGGATGCTTAATATATGCCAGCCATTGCTAAGATACTACCAGGAACAAATAAAGACAATATCCTTGCCCTCAGTGGTGCTTACATGCTGGTTGGAAGGTTGTGGGACAATATTATCACAAGTATATTTGTATATGTTTTCATATCTCTTTGCTTGTTTAGGCTAATTTGTAACTATGTAGTTTTTACCTTGGCTTTTAGAAACTATCTGTAATACTAATTAAGCCAGCACTTAATTACTTCACATATATGCGTGCATACAGTTTGTTACTGGTTGGTTTCTGTTTTCTCTTTGTATTTATTCTCTTTTAAGATATTTCCTATACTACATATTGATTCTTTGGTCAAACTTAGGCTGCAGCAGATGGCCTGAAAAAATTTAGTTGGTCTAGTTTATGGCAGCTGATATGTGTGTTGAAGCTTTCATGGTAATGAAATTTTTCTCGTGAAAAATGACACACTTTACGTGAAAAAAATCAGCTAAGTATATGTATCCTGTTTTATAAGCTAATATTTCATGCTATATTGATGTTTACCTGGATGGAAAGAATTTGATAAATGCTAATGATTTAGGAGTCATAGACATTTTAGAATTAGAGGAATCTTGGGAAATTTAATCCCATTGTTTTCAACTATTTTAGCAGTGGAATTTTTTTGTGTGTGTGTGGTACGTGGGCCTCTCACTGTTGTGGCCTCTCCCGCTGCGGAGCGCAGGCTCCGGACGCGCAGGCTCAGCGGCCATGGCTCACGGGCCCAGCTGCTCCGCGGCATGTGGGATCTTCCCGGACCGGGGCACGAACACGTGTCCCCTGCATCGGCAGGCGGACTCTCAACCGCAGTGGAGTTTTTTAATGAAATAAATGTTACAGATTTATTTTTTAGCATAAGGTCACAATTTTACTACATTTACTCACTATAAAGTCAGTGATGAGAAAAGTAAGTCTTTTTGGTCAGCACGGGAATTTCAGATTAGATTTCTTGGCGTCAGTTGCATTTTTAAAGTCGGTGTCTAGTGTAATGCTGTATTTTGTTTTAATTGTAATAATAGCTAACACTGCCATAATAATAGTTATTAATAGTAATAGCTAATAATAGTACTATAACAATAGTTACATAGTAATAATGATAATTAATGGTATGTGCCAGGTGGCATTCTAAAAGTGTTGTATGGATTCACTTAATTTTCATGAAAACCTTATGAAGTCGATTCTGTTTATATCCTCACGTGAGGTTGAGAAAACCCGTGAAACTTTTTTTGGCAAATAATCAAGAAAACCTTGATCCATATAATTAATTATAAATGGTAACAGTTTTTTGATAACTCACCTTTCAAAGTAAGGATGATGCTTAATGAACGTAATTCCAAAACGTGTTTGAAATAAAAGTTTTCTACCATTTTTAAAAGGTGAATCACTAACAGATTCCTTAATTGCCATTTAGGGTTCAATTTAGAGAAAATTCTTTTGGCTATTTAATGCTTTGTTATTTTGTGAAATGCAAATTAATATTGTGAAATGCAAATTAATATTATGGGATATTAGACAGTGTCATTTCAAAATGCCTCTGGTATTTCATTGTCAGAACCTGGCAGAGGTTTCAGAATACATTTATTTTTTTTGCTGACATTACATTAGTCATTCTAATCATAGCAATTTTTTCCCCTTGCATTGCCAAATTAACTCGTTTAATTTGTCAGAAAAGAATCAACCACAGTGTGGAACAAGCCAAATCTATCTAAAATACGATATTGGAGGATGATGTGTCACATTACTATTGTTCCATTATTATATTGTGACAAGTTTGTCAGCTGAACTATTAAGGGTGGCACATGTGCTGCGGTGAATAATTTTACATGAGTAGACATTATAACTTGCATTAAAGCAAAGATTTGTGTAAATGTAACCATTCCTAGTCAAATATGTGTTTGCCAGGAGTGTAAATAAATACGCACAGAGATGTTAAGAAAACAGCTGCATCAAAATTGACGTAGCATTACAAGTGAATTGTCTTCAAAATGTTAAAAAACTAGTATGGTACAGATTTGAATATGGTTGCTTTGTATTAGTTTTAAAAATAGTTTGAAGTACATTTTAGAATGTAAACTTTTAAATTTTACTGATGCCTCAAAGTACCTCTTTGGAACCTGAGAGTTCCTTAAAAATCTCCTTTGAATGCAATTGAACTAGTCCAAATGTTGCTTTATTTTTTTAATTTTTAAATTTATTTTTATTTTGGGCTGCGTTGGGTCTTTGTTGCTGAGTGCGGGCTTTCTCTAGTTGCGGCGAGCAGGGGCTACTCCTCGTTGCAGTGCGCGGGCTTCTCATTGCAGAGCATGGGCTCTAGGCATGTGGGCTTCAGTAATTGTGGCTTGTGGGCTCAGAAGTTGCAGCACGTGGGCCCTAGACTGTGCGGGCTTCAGTAGTTGTGGCTCGCGGGCTCTAGAGCGCAGGCTCAGTAGTTGTGGTGCACAGTGTTAGTTGCTCCGTGGCATGTGGGGTCTTCCCAGATCAGGGATCGAACCTGTGTCCCCTGCATTGGCAGGCGGATTCTTTACCACTGCGCCACCAGGGAAGTCCCCAAATGTCATTTTACCCATGAAGATATTAAGGACTAGAGAGGGAAAGTGAGTTGCTCAAGGTCATGTAGGTAATTGGGAGCAGTGATAATTCTAGACAGAATTCAGGTACCTGATAGTTAGGCCATTGTTCTGTCAATATAGTACTCCTTCTGTAGTAAAGATTGTATTTGGAAAATGAAAGTTGAATACTTGCTATTATGATAGAAAATATTTTTCTATCACTTATTTGCAAGAGTTGCTTGAGTTTTATTCAGTATGTTTGTCTAATATGTTTGCTGTTTATGTGAAATATATAACTATACATACTTCCAAAAAGAATTTGTTGCAGCTGGCATATTAATGCTTTAAAAAAATATTGCTTATTCAACAATATAAAATGTCTCTGCATATTTGAAAGTCTTAATAAACTTGAGTGTTAAGATAGAATTTTATATCTTATTATTTAGGTCTCTTGATGTTTTAAGTGATGGTGTTTTGAAGGATCTTTCTGTGTTTTACCGAAAAATGGTAAGGTTTATGTTTCTGTCAATTACAATTTCAACCAAAGCAGTATATTTGGTCAGACTTCTCAATGGAACAATTTCCTAATGAATTCTGATTCATTAGGATCTTTTAAAAATGAGGACATAAGATTTCTTTACAAGCTCTACAGGTAAACACGTTAATAAAAATTGAAGATATTTAATGATAAAATTAATATCTATTTAAATTTCTTTATAAATGAAAGTTATTGAATGCTTTGGGGTCTTTTGTTATTTATTTACTAAAAGATCAGGACAGTGTAAAAATATGGATTTTAATGATTTTATTATTTTTATTGAGGTAACATTGATTTATAACACTATGTAAGTTTCATGTGTACATTGTTATATTTCTACTTCTGTATACCCTACAGCTTGCTCCCCACCAAAAATTTAACTTCCATCTGTCAGCATATAGTTGATCCCCTTTATCTATTTCATTCCCCCACTCCTCTTCTCCCTCTGGTAGCTACTACTCTATTCTCTGTATCCACGTGTTCGGGTTTTTTGTTTGTTTGTTTAGTTCATTTATTTTGTTTTTGTTTATTAGTGTTTTATGTTCCATCTATGAGTGAAATCATACAGTATTTGTCTTTCTCCATCTGACTTACTTCACTTAGCATAATATCCTCATGGTCCATCTTGTGTTGTTGGAAATGGCAAGATTTCATCTTTTTTCATGGCTGAGTAGTATTCCATTGTATATATGTGTGTGTGTGCGCGCGCACGCGCGTGTGTGTTTATCCATTCATCCCTTGATTCATCCCTTGATGGGCACTTAGGTTTTTTCCATATATTGGCTATTGCAAATAATGCTGCAGTGAACATAGAGGAGCATATATCTTTTCAAATAAGTGTTTTTATATTCTTTGGATGAATACCCAGAAATGGGATAGCTGGGTATCTTATGGTAGTCTATTCTTAATTTTTTTAGGAATCTCCATACTGTCTTCTGTAGTGACTGCACCAATTCACAGTCTCACCAACAGTGTATGAGGGCTCTCTTTTCTCCACATCCTTGCCAACACATGGTATTTCTTGTCATTTTGACCCTAGTCATTCTGACAGGTGTACAGTGATATCTCAGTGTGGTTTTGATTTGCATATCCCTGATAATTAGTGATGCTGAACATCTTTTCATCTGTCTGTTTGCCATCTATATGTCTTCTTTGAAAAAATATGTATTCAACTCCTCTGTCCATTTTTTAATCAGGTAATTTTGTTGTTGTTGAGTTGTATGAGTTATTTTAGGGCATATGATTTACAAATATCTCCTCCCATTTGGTAGGTTGTCTTTTTGTTTTATTGATGGTTTCCTTTGCTGTGCAGAAGCTTTTTAGTTTGGTATAATCCCATTTATTTTTGCTTTTGTTTTCATTGACTGAGGAGGCATATTTTAAAAGATATTGCTATGACTGATATCAAAGAGCATACCACCTGTGATTTCTTTCAGGAGTTTTATGGTTTCAGGTCTTACACTCAAGCCTTTAATCTACTTTGACTTAATTTTTGTGTATATTGTGAAATAATGGTCTAATTTAATTTTTTGGCATGTGGCTGTCCAGTTTTCCCAGCACTATTTATTGAAGAGACTGTCCTTTCTCCATTGTGTATTCTTTGCTCCTTTGTTGTAAATTACTTGTCCATGTATGCAGGTGTTTATTCCTGGGCTTTCAATTCCGTTTAGAGATCTTTGCATCTGTTTTTCTGCCAATACCGTGCATTGGTATTGGACAAAGGAAATCTTTGTCATTGACTTTTGACAATTTTAATATTTGTTACACATCTTGGAGAAGGTTGTTTTGCATTGAGGTAATTAGGTGTTATTTTAATTTCATGGACTTGTGTATCCACTTCCTTTTCCAGCGTTGGGATGTTCTCAGATATTATTTTTAAATAAACTCTCTTTTGCCTTCTCCCTCTCTTCTCCTTCTGGGTTACTCATTACCCTAATATTTTTCTTCCTAAATGAGTTGGATAGGTCTTGTGAAATTTCCTCACTTTTTAATATTCTGCTTCTCTTCTTCTACTTGTATCATTTCAAGATTTCTGCCTTTGAGCTTGCTAATTCTCTCTTCCATATGATCTGCTCTATTTCCATTTCTTTCTAATACATTCTTCATCTCATGTATTGAGTTCTTCAACTGCAGCGTTTGTTTGGTTCTTTTTTAGAGTTTCAGTCTCTTTGGTAAAGTATTTCTTCTGTTCATTAATTTTATTCCTGAGCTCATTAAACCACCTTTCTGACTTCTTATAGCTTAGAGTTCCTTCATGACAGCTATTTTGAATTCTCTATCAGTTAGATTGAAATATTCTGTGACTTAGTTTGGTTTCTGGAGAACTGTTATTTTCTTTTTGTGGTCGAGTGTTATTGTGGTTGTATATGGTACTTGAATTAAATTGTTCCTCTGCAGGTGCATTTGAAGTTAATGACAGGTTAGAAGTCCTTTCTTTTGCTTTCCAGTAGGTGGCACTATAACACAGGTTTGTTTTCTATTACCTGAGCTGGCTCTGATTGTATTTGCTAGTTGGCACTTTCCAGCCTCCACCGGCTCTGTAAGAGGTGTGCTTCTGTGCCTTCATTATTGCTTCTTGTGCCTCCCAGGTCCTTACTGCCTTTCTTCTGCCAGAGCTACTGTCATCATCGGAATGTTGGGCTCTTCCCCAGTTTGTGGGGTTCCTTGAGTAACAGTCTTTGCATGGGGGGAGGAGGATCATGGGGGTGTTGGGAGCCAGGGTTGCACAGGTGCCTGTACTGTATCTGATATTGTATAAGGTTCGTGGGCTTCCGCCACTGTTGATGGTGGGGGATGGCGGCTGGGTTCCAGGGCCCACTTCCACTGCTACCAAGCTACCTGTGGTTGTGAGCACCCCTCCATTCAGGATGCCAGAGTTGTAAGTGCACCACCTCACATACTGGTACTGGGTTCCCTGAAGCTGTGGGCTCAGCTACCATGGTTAGAGGCCCAGGATTGCAGGCACAGACTCCACTCTTTCATCTGTTCTGCCTCTCTCCTGTATGTGTTCCAGCCTACCCACCTTTAGATGTACAAATGTGTGGAATTCTCTGGTGTCCTAGTGTGTTGGGCAGAGGCAACTTTGTTGAGCTCTGGATGTTTTACTGGTTATAGATTGAAGGGGAGACAGAAAGGTAGCTGATGTCTTTACTCTACACATTTTGTATTTAAAAAGTGACATCTTTTTTTCTATAGATTCCAGCAATGGATAGAAGAGTCATTACACCATATCAAGATGGACCAGATATTAGCTATTTGGATGTAGAAGATGGAGATATCTTTTTGAAAGAAGAAATAAATATGGAACAAAATTATTCGTAAGCTTTTTTTTTCCCCCCTTCCTTTTCTCTTTCCCCCACCCCCAATCTTGGACACTGTTGACACTTTTATATTAATATGGAAAGAAAAATTGAGAAACCTAACATAAAAAATAGGTAAGGTATTTATGTTCATTTTTAGCCTGATACAATACAAAGTAAATGCATAATTAATATTTGCAGATATAACAAAGTTAAGTATAAACACAAAAGGAATGTAGCCTTCTGGTTAAATATGTTGGGTTGAATAAGTGCAATTATCTTAACTACTTTTCCAAACCCTGCTGAGATTATAGGAAAGAAATAAAAAAGGCATATTGCACTAGAGCAGAGAGAACAGGAAAGGAGTAAATGGCAGTCAGGAGATGTTAACAGTTTTGGAAGTTGGAAAGTGGTTGCCAAGCAGTAATGACTTAGAAAAAACTAAAACAGAATTCTGGAAAGGCTTAAGAATTACAGGTACTAGGTTTATGAAGACCAGTGTAAGTGGTTGGATTTGGAAAAGAGCTTTTTTTTTTTTTTGAGAATTTTTCAAAGCGCATTGATGTATTCCTGAACCAAGTGATTGACTGCCCCTCCTCCACCTTGGCAGAAGATGGGAGACTTGCCTTCTGGAGAGGGTGAGCCAAAGGGAGTTCATCAGCCATTCTTCTAGATCCCTCTCTGTAGAGAACCCTACTCATTCAAGAGATATGACCCACAGTGACTGGCATTTGGGAGTCCTTCAATAAAATATCCCAGGTTCTACACAGTCTCCCTGTTGACCATTTAATAAGTCCTGCTTAGAATTTCCAGTCTGCATTTTAGGCTAATTTATCAGCTGGTTATAGAATTACTTTCCTTCTGCTTGGTAAATGACCTGTTAAAATAAAATCTTCGGACGTTCAAGTCATTTACTACATACACGTGTAAGTGTATATATATATGTATGAGTATAATTGTAGCTCACTGAAAAGCTGCTCTTGGTTCCAGCGATCTTTTTTAACTTCTTTTCTAGAGTTTGGTGGTAGCCACTGGAATACTTGAGGTTTATAAATATCTGACTTGGACGTATGACATGTTATTACATTAAAAATTATAATGAAATGATTAACGTTGACATAAATACATTATCCTTCACAAAATAATAGTATTCACAGCTGACCTGTGTTACTGTGGATGAATTATATAATGAGATCTATAATTTTTAGGTGAAATAAGACTGTTGTAGTCCTCATAGATAATGTTATTTTCTCTTTCCTGATTAATAATAATTCAAGAAATTAAGCAGCCCCTGAAATACTTTAAAAATTATCACCAACTATTTCTAGTTCCAGATCATAGATTATAATAGCTTGTGTGTGAACATGTACAGTATTTTACTTTTCAAAGTATTTTCTTATATACCATCTTGTTTCTAACTTTCACAGAAGTGCTAGGGTTAGAACAAGAGATAGTATCACACTGAAGTTTGGTGGAATTAAGTAACGTGCTCTGGGCCACTTAGATAAATGGGACTAGAACATATATATTCTTTTGTGTTTTTTGTTTGACCAAAATGCTGCATTCCGTTGCTCAAAATCCATAGTTCTTCTCCTGTTTCATCTGTAACTTAATTTTTTTTTTAATTTATTTATTTTTGGCTGCGTTGGGTCTTTGTTGCTGCATGCGGGCTTTCTCTAGTTGCAGTGAGTGGGGGCTACTCTTCGTTGCAGTGCTCGGGCATCTCATTGCAGTGGCTTCTCTTGTTGCGGAGCATGGGCTCTAGGCACGCAGGCTCAGTAGTGTGGCTCACGGGCTGTAGAGCGCAGGCTCAGGTAGTTGTGGCACACGGGCTTAGTTGCTCTGCGGCACGTGGGATCTTCCTGGACCAGGGATCGAACCCGTGTCCCATGCATTGGCAGGCGGATTCTTAACCACTGTACCACAAGGGAAGCCCTGTAACTTTAATTTTTTTAAAATGACTTTTATGTTTGCTTTTTTCCTAGGGAAAGCGTGTTCAAGAAGACAAAAACGAAAGCAAAAAAGAAGCCACGTAAGCGGTCAGATAGTTCTGGAGGTTATAACCTTTCAGATATTATTCAGAGTCCACCATCTACAGGTTAGTGGAAAATATTTTAGGGTATATTTTCTGATCTAATCTTTCATGTCTCTGTTCCTTATCTAATTCATTTAACATGTATTAAATACTATTATATGCCATCTGCTAGGGCTACAGAAATAGAAAATAGTCCTTGTCTTAGGGAGGCCACAGAAAATGATAATGTATTGTGATAAGTACTCTGATTGACGTTTGCTCTGTGATCACAGAAGGGGCACCCAAACTAGTCTGAGAAGATCGGGGCACATCTGTTAGAGGAAAGTGATACCTGAGCTGGGTCTTGAAGAGTGAAGAGAATTTAGCCAAGAAAAGGAGGCAGATTGACGTGCTAAGAGAATGGGGCAGTGTGTTTCAAGCCCAGAGGCAGTAGAAAGACTGCATGTTTGTTGTGCGTAGCTCGGCCATATCCAGTAGGTGCAGATAGGAGATAGGTTGGAGAGGGTCAGATTTTGGAGGGTGTTATATGCCAAACTAATGAATTTGGACTTTAATCTGAAGGCTACAGGTAGCTATTGATGGATTTTTGAAGGCAGGGTGTGACTGGATAAGGTTTATGTTTTTAGAAAGACCACTCTGTGTAGTGGCATAGAGGGTTAGAGGTGGGCAGCACATGACAGAGATACTATTAACACGTGCATTCAGTTCATATATATCAGTGCTTCAGGTGAGATGTCACGTGGGATTCCATTCATGCGTGTTAAGGAGGTTATAATCCAGTAGTAAAATACAACACGTTTTATATACCTAGGCATTGTGTGAGCCTGTTTGAAAGTAAGGTTATATAGTTTTTCTAAAATTTTTTTTCCCAGTTTTTAATTTTGAAAATCTTTAAGTTACTAAAAAGGTGAAAGAAAAATACCATGAACACCTGTATACCCATTATCCAGATCTATTGTTCACCTCTTAGCACATTTGCTTTTTCTTGCAGGCTTTGTCTTGCATGCTCTGTTCCCTCATCCTCCAAACATTCTACACACACACTTTTTTTTTTTAACCTGATCCACCTGGAACTAAGCTGTAGACATGACATTTTACCCCCAAGGTTAATATGAATCTCCTAAGCATAAGGGAGATACAACCCTTATTCTATACAACCACAATACCATTATCACATTGAAAGACAGTTAACATTACTTAATATTATCTAGTGCTGTAGTCTATGTCCATATTTCCCTAATTGTCCAAACATGTTTTTATAGTCTTCTCTGTTTTAGCATTAAGAAAAAAAAAATCTAATGTCGTATCAGGGTTGACATTGCCTTTGCTTATTAATGTCTTTTTAGTCTCTTAAGTAGAACAGCACCGCCACACCTTTCTGTTTTGTTTTGTTTTGTTTTGTTTTTAGAAGTTGAGGCCAGTGGTATTGTAGACTATCCCACATTCTGGATTCGTCTGATTAGATCCCGATTAAATGACCTAAATTTTAACAGTTTCTTTAGATAAAAATTTGAAGTGTAACCAAAAAAGAATGGCAGCACAGCGTGGCTTTCAGAAATAGTTGGTGTGTCTATAGCCATAAGACAGACTGGTGCAGTTTCTATCAGCAGTGTTTTCACAGTCAATCAGCCTTATACAGGCAACTTTGAAAAGTACAAATGAGGTATTTGACACGTTTGATAAATAACGTGAAGAATAGTCGTTTTAGATAACACACGAGATATTAAAAAAGAAAGCTAATATACCTAAATTGATTGATGAAGTACTGAAGATAGGTCTATAGGTCTTTCTCATTTGCTGCATATCCTGATTCCTATTTTAGGACCTTTTTAAAGTTTAAATTCTGTGATTTTGCATCCTCTGTGTTATATGAATTACCCGTAGTACTTAGAAGGAGGCATAAGTGGATTGATGGCAGGATGAATAAATGGATAATGGATAGACAGTCATGGAGCTAGTGATTTTCCAAATACCTAAAAGATTTATGGAAAAAGCAGATATTTGGTTTGTTTTAAAGGATGTTATTGATAGCACATGTGTTAAGAGTCTTAGCATTTCAGAGCTGGAAGAGACCTTAATAATGAATTAATTTACACCCCTTCCTTTAAACTTGAGGAAACAAGCTCAGAAAACTTTGAAGTGATTTCAGGTCGTAGCAGCCAGAGGTAGAATTTATTTTCTTGATTCCTGTTCTGTATTCTTCCTGCTATACTACTTCTGTGGCCAAAGCAAAAAATGATTGAAAGGTTAAATTTAACTGGGGGCCAAAGTAACCTATTCTGGGAGAAATTCTGAGTATGAAGCTAATTTCATCAAGGACAGTTGTATGAAGGCTTAACGTTTGTTTGTGTTGGTCCTTAAAGTTAGAAGTCATTCTGTGAAAATAATTTTTTTATCAAAGATAATTGTTGGCCACTTTAATCGTCTTCTTTATTTATTAGATTTGTTTCTAATTGACTTTTGGGAGCATCCCAGTATTAAATATACTCTCTTATATAAAAATTTGCTACTCTTAAAAATATTTAAAACATTGTGGGGGAGAAAAGTTTGAATGTTATTCCAAATTGTATTTTAGCAATAACAACAAAAAAGGCACATATCTTGTCAGAGTGATTTATTTTTTTTTTTAATTAATTAATTTAATTTATTTATTTTTGGCTGCATTGGGTCTTCATTGCTGCGTGCAGGCTTTCTCTAGTTGCGCTGAGTGGGGGCTACTCTTCCTTGAAGTGCGCTGGCTTCTCACTGTGATGGCTCCTCTTGTTGCGGAGCATGGGTTCCAGGCGCCTGGGCTTCAGTAGTTGTGGCTCACGGGCTCTAGAGCGCAGGCTCAGTAGTTGTGGCGCACGGGCTTAGTTGCTCCACGGCATGTGGGATCTTCCCAGACCAGGGATTGAACTCGTGTCCCCTGCATTGGCAGGCGGATTCTTAACCACTGCGCCACCAGGGAAGCCTGCGGTGATTTACTTTTAAAGAAAACAACACTTACTGAATTTATGAGATGTGTTTTATAATGTATTTATTTTGCCACTTCATTTAGATTGTACTACATTTTAAATATGTGGAAATAAACACATGAACCTAAGCAAAAGTTTTTTTTTCTTTTTTACTCTGTTTATACTTGAAATGACTGATTTGCTAATGAGCCAGGATACCAGATGTAGCAGGGAGACAGGTATTGAGCTTGCCTAAGAGAACAAATGGTATATACATTTCATAACAACTTATGCTTTAGGTGATAAGCTAATTGAAAATAGCTCTCAATTCACAGCTATTTTGCAGAAGGGAAAACCCTCAAACAGGCCACAGTAGGCTTCAGCAAAGCCTCTGCTACCTGGCCAGTCTGCTGGCTTAGATGAGTGGCAGAAAGGTTATAATGGCTTCTCCCACACAGACTGGGACTAATCCCCCTTTGCATAGGTGCAGAGACAGATGAGAAAGGGAAAGGGGAGGGGTCTAGAGTTTATTAATTTTGTCTTGCTGTCTTATCTTTATGGGGAAAAAAATGTTCTGAGTCACTTTTTAAATTAGATACCAAATAACTATCTTCCTCAGGTTTATTGCTTAATTGGTGTGTAATTAAAATGAATAAAACTGTTGTTTTGAAATTCTCCATTTCAGTTTTTCACTTCAACTGATTTCTTTCTTCAGTTAGCTTGAATTATTAAGACTTTAGTACAGTGACTATAATTTAAATGTTAACTAAATCTGGATAAATGGACGCTTTTAGCTCTCTTTGGTTCATTAAATGTAATACATATATGTTTACTGTATATGTGTTTAAATATGAAAAATTTTTTACCTTTTAGGATTACTAAAGTCTGGTAAGACCAATTCTGTGGAATCTCTTCCAGAACTGTTGACATCAGACTCTGAAGGAAGCTATGCAGGAGTGGGTAGTCCTAGAGATTTACAGTCTCCTGATTTCACAACAGGATTTCATTCAGATAAGAATGAGGTTTGTCTTTGTTTATTAATGCACTATTTTCTTCAAATTTTAATCTATAGACAGTTTAGTTTTTCATTATTTTTACTCTAACTTTAAAACACTCGCTGGTTTATAAGAAAATACAATTAATGACGTAATATATGTAGTGTTATCGTTTTCTCAAATTTGCCTAATATTTCTAGTTTTAAAGATTTTAATTGCAGTTTTGAGCCCTTTATGATGTTGTATTTCTAATCTTTCTGCAATAAAAGTAATGTTGATGTAAAGTATAGCAATACTGTATAGGCATATTGAAATATATATTCATAGCTAAATTACTTGAAATATATTTTGTGAAATGTCAGTTAACACCAGCTAAAAACTGTCAAAGGAAAATGATTTTGAAAGTAAGCCTAATACCAAAATCTGTTTAGTGTCTTCCTGCCACGGTGTGAACTGGAGCAATGCAGTCTGGAATGGAGTTCTTCTCCTAGTCTAGCAAAATTGACACTAAGCTGCTGAATTCCTAGGCTGGTCAACTCTGGGGGAGGCCATGTTTCAGACATCTCTTCCATAGTTGTTAATCTACAGGGAAGGAGAATGTCAAACTTACCAGATAAAGTAATTTTTTTCTAACCTCTATACATCCACAAAATATATTAGAACATCTAGAAATTTGTGAGACAATAGAAAATTTACCCTTTATTAAGAGTCTTCTAGGCCTCAAGGATTGATAATAAAACAAATTTTTATCATAAAAATTTTTTTATGTAAGGTAGAAGTTTGGGGGAAATTCATATTACACTTAGGTTGGCCTGGAAGACAGGTGAGGTTTAAAAGAAGGTTGAAGGCATACTGTGAATTTTTGGCAATAGTAGAAGAATCTATCCTGGCAGTGGAAATACCATTTCAATAAATTCCTTGACCTCTTGTAATAGCAATAGTTTTAGGGTCCCTTTTGAAGTGTCGGTATTATTTGGCTTTAATTTTATTCAGAGTCCTTTAATTATATTCAGAGTGAATTGTATGAAATTTATACCAGACTTTCATTTTGTTTCATTTTAAAGTCATGGATGTTAATTTTAAAGTTACTGCTTCATGTCTTATTTGAACAACTTACATTTATTAATAACATTTTGTTTAATGCTCAGGTAAATAAGAACTTGATATGCAAACTTATGTCCCTAAAAATTATTCCCAAAGCTTTTAATAATTGGGTTATAGCCACTGATATGGTTTGAGAATTGACCAAGATACTAAACTGTAGAAGAACTGAATTGAAAATACTAGATAATTATTGTTGTAAGGTTTTACTCTTTAATATAGTTTAACCAGTATTTACTGAGTACCAACTATGTGTTCGCTACTGTGCTAGGGGTACCTGCTATTACTCACTTTTTAATTTTTTTTTTTTTTTTTTTTTTTACCTCCAGGGGAAAATTAAATCCTATGTTAATGGTACACCTCCTACACATTTTAGGGAAGATTTAAAACCATGGGAAAAATCACCAGTATTTAAAATATCTGCTCCACAGCCCATTCCCAGTAACAGAATTGATACTACAAGCTCTTCCAGTTGGGTTTCTGGCTCTTTCAGGTAGGATTTTTGTTTTTTTCTGTACTTGTTAGTCTGAGAAATATCATTTATTTTTGGTCAAGTGAAACTTTTTAATGAAGCACATTTAAAAAATTAATACAAATTTCTAATATACAGAAAATTTCCTAAATGCATACAAATTACCAGCTAAAGTGCATACAAATTACTAACTGGCTAAAATAGGCTTTTTCCAGACAGAATTTAGTTGCCTTTGCAGTGTCATCAGGGAATACTTAGTAAAATACTCTATAACTAACACACACACACACACACACACACACACACACACACACACACACTGACTTGATATCAGCTTCTTTTTCTTTTTTAATGGGTAGTGTATATTAGTAAAAACTCCCACTCAGGAAGACCCTTTTGTCATTTGTAGGCTTACTTTATCTTTTTTTTTGCACATTAAAGTGTATTTAAGATCTCACAAAATGTGTTTGTTACAGTTAATTTTCAGAGGCTATTCATTTAATGTTATGCTGTAGTTTTAACTTGACCTATATTCTATCCATATTTTTGTTTGTTTTTTTGCTGTATGCAGGCCTCTCACTGTTGTGGCCTCTCCCGTTGCGGAGCACAGGCTCCGGACGCGCAGGCTCAGCGGCCATGGCTCACGGGCCCAGCTGCTCTGCGGCATGTGGGATCTTTCCGGACCGGGGCACGAACCCGTGTCCCCTGCATCGGCAGGCGGACTCTCAACCAACTGTGCCACCAGGGAAGCCCAAATATGCTGTATTTTGCACAGTTGGAATAAAGATGATGATGTCCCGGTTTATGCTGCTTCATGGTCTAAAGATAGTTCAGAAAGTAGACACCTTTTTTCCTAAGTAAACATATTTGTGGGAACACCTGGAAGCATCTTCTAATCACTAATGTTAGACTATTTTATTAAACATGTATCTCTTAACATTATGACTTTTGATGCATTTTATTATTATGTATGTATATGTAAAAGTATATTTCATTCAAAATATCCTTTTTGAAGTTGGCCACAGCTGACAAAATAGACCTAAATTATCCTCTCATTAATATATAATTTACAGTTTCAGTAATGTTTGGGTGTTGGACTTCATGGATAAATGAATGGGTTGTAAAGTAACTTTTATATGTCTTTTAGTCCTGTAAGCCCTCCTGTTATGGATCTCAGAACCATCATGCAAATAGAAGAAAGTAGACAAAGACGTGGAGCTACACCAAAGACAAATTTGGGGTTGGTTACAAAATCATAAAAAAAGGAAAGACCATGTTGTGTTATAGTTCTGCCCTAAACTGGAAAGACCTACTGGACCTTTCCTATTATTTTTCTGCATTTGATGTTAAAGTTAGTTGTAAGCTCTTTTCTAGGTAATTTAGCCTCCATAACATTATTTCTTAAATATATGCTGAAGACTGAGTTGGGTTGATAGTCTAGCTCTTGTGGAATACAGTATTACATGCTGGAAATTTGCCTCTAAAATGATGTATTTCTGTTAGAAGTGTGATGCAAGTGTATTAGGAGGGCTCCCATGTAGCTATTACTTGATCCTTGATAGTATAAACTAATTATATATATTGCCACTGTTGAAACTTGTGGTCATTTTGATCTAGTAATAGTAAAATCCCATCAAATAAACACAGCAATATAATTACAAGTAACCTTTGTTGAGCAGAAATTAATGTTAATTGGTTTAATTTCTAGCAAAATTATTTCTTATGGAATTAAACTTTCTCAGAAGCGGTGAAACTGATTGGTTTGATTTAACAATTTCTAGAAAAATGATTTCTCATGGAGTTAAACTGTCTCAGAAGCAACGAAAAATGATTGCAATGACTACCAAAGATAATAATTCAGCAATGAATAGCATGGAAACAGCATTAAGTGCTCCTTCAAAAACCCCCAAACCGGCGAATGCATGGTATGCTCTAATTTTTATTAAAATAAGCTTTGTACATTAGCTTTTAAGGTAGTTCTTGGCTTTGGGTGTTTTTTTTTTTTCCTTCCTGTCTTTTCAAATATTTCATTTCCCTCTTTGCTTTCAAGTTAAAAATTGGACCTTGGGAAATACTTTATTTTTTTGTTTGTTTTGAGAAGTGCATCATGATTTTTGAATTTTTTTTCATATGTGTAGATAAATTTTCTTCTTGGTATTTTAATTACTGTTTATTGCTAAGGCAGTTTAAGGGAACATTCTTATTTTTTCATTTTTTATAAAAAATAATGTATATCATAGAGAATTTTGATAAAAGCAAACAGATTTTCTTTTAGCACCCTAAGTTCTTTGTATATTCCCTGTATGCATCATGAATATCTTAAAATTTTTATAATCATAGCTTGTCATTGTCACTTTTAAGCAGGGTTGTTTACTTAACATTGTGTTATATAACTTTTCTCAATTAGAATTTACCCATAATGCAACATTAATAGGAATAATCTCCAAAGAGGTCAGATAGCAATTTTGACATATGAAAAATAGGTTGTACTTCTGCTCCCCTCCCATCCTCCCTTTTTTTGGTAACTAATATCATAATAATTGGAAACCAATTTTAGAAGAAAAATACATGGATAGTATGATGGGCAGGAAAGATCAGTAGAACCCTGTTGTTCTCACAAGCATTGAAGAGGGTATTACAGACTACTGTTGGTTTGGGGGAACCCCTTCATTACTCTAATGCCACTTCTATTTGTAAGAGGGAATATTTTTCCCATTAAAATGTAAATTGTTTTGAAGAGAGTGGCAACTCATTTTATTTTGATTGCCACCAATAGGACTAAATATCAGACCTACTAGTAAATCTAAAACATGATCACAGAAAAAGAAAACAAGAGGTGAGAACACCCAAGTGAAAAAGAAAAGAGAGTGAAACTTGAGGGATTGGGTTTAGCAGAATTTTTTTTTTAATTAATTAATTTATCTTTGGCTGTTTTGGGTCTTCGTTTCTGTGCGAGGGCTTTCTCCAGTTGCAGCAAGCGGGGGCCACTCTTCATCGCGGTGCGCGGGCCTTTCACTGTCACGGCCTCTCCCATCACAGAGCACAGGCTCCAGACGTGCAGGCTCAGTTGCTCCGCAGCATGTGGGATCTTCCTGGACCAGGGCTCAAACCTGTGTCCCCTGCATTGGCAGGCAGATTCTTAACCACCACGCCACCAGGGAAGCCCAAGTAGAATGTTTTCATTCATTGGTATTTGTTGTGCACCTTCTACATGCAAGGCACTGTTCTAGTTTCTGATGATAAGGCAATATATACAAAACTGATTTAATCACTGCCTCTGTAGGGTTTATGGAGTAGCTGTTATAATATATATATTTTTTAATATAAATTTATTTTATTTATTTACTTTAAAAAAATTTTTGGCTGTGTTGGGTCCTCAAAAAAAGAAAGCCTTGTGTCCAGGCTTTCTCTAGTTGTGGTGAGCAGGGGCTACTCTTTGTTGCGGTATGTGGGCTTCTCATTGCGGTGGCTTCTCTTGTTGCGGAGCACGGGCTCTAGGTGCACGGGCTTCAGTAGTTGTGGCATGCGGGCTCAGTAGTTGTGCCTCTTGGGCTCTAGAGCGCAGGCTCAGTAGTTGTGGTACATAGGCTTAGTTCCGCGGCATGTGGGATCCTCCCGGACCAGGGCTCGAACCCGTGTCCCCTGCCTTGGCAGGCAGATTCTTAACTGCTGCGCCACCAGGGAAGTCCCCTGTTACAATATTGAGTTATGTTTTCCCTAAACAAAGGTATAGAAAAGACAAAAAAAAAAGTTCTTTGACTAGCTCTCAAGATACTAAATATATCGCAATTTGAGAGAATTAGCTAAGCACATGAGGAAGCTTTGGGCTTATTAGTAAATACAGTTTAAGCCCTGCCATCAACCAGTTTCCTTATTTAAAAACAAAAAGTAAATGAACAAAAGAAGGAACAAAACAGTGATCACTCAAGGTAGGAAATCCAACTACTGGACAAATACTCTTGGTTTAGCATCTATTTCAAACATAGGAGTTCTTTCCAGCCCCAATAAAGTAATTTTTAAAATCAAAAAACACAGAGTTCAAAAAATTTAATAGTATGGTAATACTTCAAGGCTTCTTATCATGAAAGATAGCAGTTGCCTGCCCTGCCCCAAACTTTCTCTTTTATGACTGGTTAATTAAGATTCACAACAGAGTCATATTGTGAGGATGATTTTATTTCCTTTTTTTACACTATTCTGTTTTTTCCCTAGAATAACTAATTCTGTCAGTTTTCCTGTACTGCCTATGTACTCATCACTAATTTTCCCCGCAAAACTCTCTAAAACATACCTCTCTCTCTCCATTATGATGAAACATACCAGGTAATTTATTACTTTTGTTTTTTATTGAAGGCATCTCTCTTTTTGTTTTTTTTTGCGGTACGCAGGCCTCTCACTGTTGTGGCCTCTCCCATTGCGGAGCACAGGCTCCGGACGCACAGGCTCAGCGGCCATGGCTCATGGGCCCAGCCTCTCCGCGGCATGTGGGATCCTCCCGGACCGGGGCACGAACCCGTGTCCCCTGCATCAGCAGGCGGACTCTGTGAACAACTGCGCCACCAGGGAAGCCCTGGAGGCATCTTCATTAGAACTCTGAGTTCTCTGGTCTGAACTAGGCCTTTTCCAGGCCTGCTTAGTATCTGTGATCTTGAGACTTCTCTTAACTGTCATCCTGGGATCTTCTTTTTCTTCCCTCCGGTGTTTGATCCCCAGTTTCCTAAATCCTGTTTTTCTATTTCTTGGTTTACTGTTTGTTTTGATGTAGCACAATCTATATCAAAACCAGTGGTTTTCTGATAAAAGATGTATAGGACATACATTTTTGGAGCCCTTACATCTTTGAAAATGTTTTTATTCTCACCATTCTTGACTGATAGATTGGAACCGAATTCTGAGTTGGAAATCATTTGTGGAGTTCCTTTTTCTTATTGCTGTTGTGAAGTCTAATGCATTCCATTTCCTTACTCTTGCTATGTTTACCAGTTTCCTCCCTCTCCCGCTCCTCCCTTTTTCTTTTCTTTTTTTTTTAAATTAATTTGGCTGCATTGTGTCTTAGTTGTGGCATGCAGGCTCCTCCTTGTGGCGCGTGGGCTCTCTAGCTGTGGCACAGGCTCCAGAGCACGTGGGCTCAGTTGCCCTGGGTCATGTGGAAATCTTAGTTACCCAACCAGGGATCCAACCCGTGTCCCCTGCATTGGAAGGAGGACTCTTAAACCACTGGACCACCAAGGAAGTCCCCCCCTTCCCTTTTTCTTTATCTCTAGCATTCTAAAATTTCAGAGTGATGTGCCTTGACGTGGGTTCTTTTTTTATAGATTATGCTGGGTACTTGATGGGCTCTTTTAATTGGGAAAAGCATGTCTTTAAGTTCTAGGAACATCTTGTATTTTATTTGATACTTTCTTCTGTACTGTTTTCTCTAGAAATCACATTAGTTGGATATGGCTCTTCCTGGATTTCCCTAATTTTCTTACTTTTGCTCTTCTAATGTTCATATAATTATTTTCCTATTCTAAAGACTTTCTGGAACGTTTCCCAGACTTTATCGTACAACCCTTCTACTGAATGTTTTAATTTAACTATTAAAATCTCTAATTGCCAAGAGCTTTCTTATTTGCTGATAGTGCCCTTTTATTAGTATCCTGTTCAATATTCAACTGTTAAAGATACCTGTACTCTATAAACTTTTTCATTCTTTAATATATATCCAACAGAAATACATGTACGTGTGCACACCTGGCAACACGTATCAGAATGTTTGTATCATCCTTATTTGTAAAAGCCAAAAACTGTAAACAACCTAAATGTCTATAGCAGTAAATGGATAAATTATAGTTTATTAGTATAGTAGAGTACTACACAATGATGAAAATGAGTTATGACTAAATACAACTGTGTGAATGAATCTCATCAATGTAATATTGAGCAAAAGAAGCCAATCAGAAAAAAAAAACCTATATGATTCCATTTATAAAAGTTAAAAATAGTCATTGATTTACATTGATGTGTATTCACTCTTTTTTCATGTATGTTTTAGTTACGTTTTATTTGGTGGACTGTTTAAGTTCTGGTTGGAATCTGTGTGCCTGTGTGGGACAGGTTGACTGATAGGTGCGACTGTAGGGTGACCCAGTGGTACCCTTAGAGGACCCCCGCATCATTGTCTCAGAAGCCTTTTAATTTTTGTATTTGGTTGCAAGCCTTCTGGAAGCTGATCGGGGTGAGGCAGTTAGGCCTGGGACTGAGGTTCTCACAATTTGGTCTAGATTCTCACATATCTCATCATTTAGTATATACATTTTAAACACAGCAGTTTAGTCCTACCTGCCTCTATATACTGGTGATTTTCAGTCAAATCCTCCCCCTACCAAGGTGAAGGAAGTACATTCATCTGACCACGTGGAGATAGGGAGGGCCTCTGGCATTCTCTGCCACTCCACAAGTAAACCTTGAGCCAGTATTCCTGTTTTCATCTGCATGATTGCTTCAGGATTTGATACTTAAGGTGTCTCCAACGTAGACTTTTCGGGGTTCCGAGCTTCACACTCTACCCCCACTCCACTTGATGACAGGTTTTCTTTATTTCCACTACATCAAGGTTCATTCTGGCCCTGTTTTATCCTCCAATAGTGTATTATTACTTTTAGTCTGCCATTGTCTTAATGCCTTATTCTTTTGCCTGTGTGGGTTTATGCCTTTCTGATTATTCTCTTGTTCACTTAACATGGGATTTTAGAGGAAAGGATTAGAGTAATCATTTATCTGAAACTTCAGACTTTGATTTTCAGGTTTAGGAAAAAATTTTCCCTAGTCATTATTAGCAATATGAACTCAGACTCCTACGTTGAAGAGACTGTCTAAATTTCAAAAGAAATATATTATGGCATATTAGGGAGAATTCTAGGAATGTGGGAGGAAGAATGCC